GCTGAAACCAGGTGTGTGGGTTTTCTCCACACCAACCAATACTCCAACACAAGTGGGGCATCCTACGATTCAATCCTGACATCACCCTGACATCACTGTTAGTGTCAGGCCCCACAGATTAAGAGCTCAGTCCCACAAGACTGCCCTCCACTTCAGATGCCAATTGCAAGTAGCAGGTGTCCAGGTTACCCACAACTTCTGTTCTACGTGGCTACAAATCAGAGGTTCCCACAGCCCCCTCCTCAGTTCAGTAATTCACCAGAATGGCTCACAGAACCCAGTAAAACAGTTTGCTTACTATTGATGGCTTATTACAAAAGATCTTTTAAAGGATACAGACAAACAGATGAAGCGATATATATGGAAGATCTGGAACGGTCCTGTGTGCAGGGGCTCTGCCCCTGCGGAGTTGGGGTGCATCACCCTCCTAGTATGTGGATGTGTCCACTCACCTGGAAGCTCTCCAAACCCCATACAATTGGGATTTTATGGAGGCTTCCTCAGGAAAGCATGATTGATCATCACCTCCATCTCCAGCCTCTCTCCCCTCTCTGGAAGATGGGGGTGGGGAGTGGGGGGGCGGGGCTGGAAGCTCCCAGCTTCTAATCAGGACTTGGTCTTTCTGGTGACAGCCCTCATCCAGGAGCCACCCAGAGTCTTCTTATGAGAACAAAAGAGGCACCTAGTGATCTATCACTTAGGAAATTCCACAGGTTTTAGGAACTCTGTGTCAGAAACCAGGGTCAAAGACCAAATATTAGCAAGAACAGAGGACAGAGACAGATTTTAAACACACACACACACACAGAGAGAGAGAGAGAGAGAGAGAGAGAGAGAGAGAGAGAGAGAGAGAGAGAGAATTTCACAATGTGTGTTTAATATTCATTGTTGATTCATTAACACTGAACTCACTTTCTACAGTGACATAACTCATGCCTGAATGAAGCTTATCTAATACTTGTGTTCCCTCTATAAGGCATATCATAGCCTTCTTGCACTTAGGAGGCCATTTTAAACAGCAAAACCACCAATAAAAAGCATGAAAATGTTGAAAATGTGGCACTAAATAGACAGAAAAAAGGACCCCGTCTATAGTATGAGCTAAAACAAGAAGGCAGGGTGTTTCCTTGTTCAGCCTCAACTGGGAACATGCACATCGGGACAGCAAATGTTTTACTGCTCTGTGCATGCCCAAGAATGACTATGAAAAAACATCACGAGTATTTATTTTGGTGTTAGAAATCAATTTTAGTGAGTAGGTAAATTTGCAAATACAAAACACATGAATATGAAGATTGAACATTGACTATATATTAATAATAATTTAAGTGTAAATAAATTAAACAATCCAACCATAAGGCAGAGTTGTTAGATTTAAAAAAAAGATTCAACCATATGCTCTTTATAGGAGACACATTTTCGATTCAAATATACAACTAGATGGAAAGTAAAAGGATATATATGCAAACAACAATCACAAGAAAACTGGAGTAGCTATACTAGCAGATAAAATAGGCTTTAAAACAAAAATTGTTACTAGACATAAAGAGGGACATTTTATAATGACAAAGAGGTCAATCCATCAGGACCATATAATAATTATAAACATGTATGCAAATAACAACAGAGCACCAAAATACATTCAACTAAAACTGATTGAAACAAAGGGGAAAATAAACAATTCAAAAATATTTGTTGGAGACTTCGATACGCTCATGTCTACAATGGATAGAAAACTGGGGAAGATCAACAAGGAAATGACAGACCTGAATGACACGATAAACCACCAAGTCCTACAGGACACTCCACCCAGCAACAGCAGGATGCACTTTCCTCAGAAATGACGTGGAACATTCTCTAGGATGGAATGTACGCTAGGACATTAAACAAATGTCAGTAAGTTAAAGAGGATAGAACTAGCACAAAGTACATTCCCTGACCACACTGGAAGGAAACTGGAAGTTATTAACAGAAAAACATTGGGGAAACCCACTGCTAAATAACCAAAGGGTCAAAGGAGGAATCAAAAGGGAAATCATAAGACACTTTGAGATGAACGAAAATGAAGACCAAAAGAGCAGAACATATAGAATTTGGCTAAAGCACTTCGGCTAAAGCTATAGGTTCCTATGTTAAGAACAAAGAAAGGTCTCAAATCAATAACTGGACCTTTCACTTTATAACAAGGGGGGAAAGGCAAACCAAGCCTAAAGCGAGCAGAAAGAAGGAAATAATAAAGAGTAGAGCAGGAAGAAATGAAATGGAGAATACAAAAACAATAGAGAAAAATCAATGAAGCCAAAAGCTGGTTCTTTGGAAGAAAAAAATGTTTAAATGAAAAGCTTTTAGCTACAGTGATTATGAAAAAAAGAGAGAAGACTCAAATTACTAGAATCAGAAGTGAAAGAGGGGACATTGCTAACAACCTCGCAGAAATAAAAAGGATTATAGAGAAATACTATGAACAACTGTGTGCTGATAACTTACATAAATTAGATGAAATGGACAAACAGGAACAAAATAACTTCAAAACTAATACTCAGGGAGTTGTAAAACATTGTTTCTGTTTTGTTAAAGAACCTCTAAATCAATGGGGAAACATCCCATGTTCATGTTCGTGGATCAGGGGACTTCATATTGTTAATTTAAGATGGCAACACTCTCCTAACCATCTATGTATTTATGCATTCTCTATCAGAATCGAAACTGACTTCTTAGTAAAAGTTGACAAGTTGATTTAAAAATTCATACTTCCATATGAATTACAAGGAACCCAAAATAGCCAAAACAATCTTGAGAAAAAACAAATTTGAAAGACTCACACTTCCCAGTTTCAACATTTACTACAAAAGCTACCATAATCAAAACAGTGTGGTACTGGCATAGGATAGACAACAAATATTTATTGATTTATCAATGGAATAAAATTGAGAGTCCAGAAATAAGCCCATACATGTATGGTCAATTGATTTCAACCAGGTGCCAAAAACGTTCAAGGGGGAAAGGAATCGGCTCTTCAACAAAGGGTTCTGGGACAACTGGAAATCCACATGCAGAAAAATGAAATTGGACCCCTACCTGATACCATATTAAAAATCCACTCAAAGTAAAAAAATCAAACACATAAATATAGGAACTAAAGCTATAAAACTCTTATCAGACAACATCGGGGTAAATCTTTGTGACCTCAGATTTGGCACTGGATTCTAAAGTTCATATGACACTAAAAGTATAAATAAGAAAGGGAAAAAAAGATAAATCTGACTCCATCAAAATTAAAAGGTTTTGTGCTTCAAAGGATACTAGCAAGAAAGTGAACAGATAACCCACTGAATGGGAGAACATACTTGCAAACCATATATAGATAAAGGACTTATATCTCAAATATAAAGAACACGTGTAACTCCACAATTAAAAGGAAAGTAATTCAATTAAACACTGCAAAGGACTTGAAAACACATTTCTCCAAAGAAGACACACAAAGGGCCAATACGCATATGGAAACATGCGCACTATTCATCAGAGAAATGCAAATCGAAGCCCCAAGGAAACACCACTTCATGCCCACGAGGGTGGCTGGACCAAAATCGTCACATAACAACAAGTGTTGGCGAGGACGCAGAGAAGCTGCAACTGCTGGTGGGGATGGAGGTGGTGCCGCTGCCCTGGGAATCACCTGGCAGCTCCTAAAACATGAACCAGTCACCATGACACTCAGCAGTTCCACTCCTAGGTATCAATCGACAGAAACAAAACGTACCCGTGGGTCCATACACAAGTGTGTATGTGAATGTTAACAGCAGCACTGTTCACAAGAGCCAACAGGTAGACACAGCCACACGTTGATCAGGCGATGAACAAACAACCGTGGGGGCCACACGGTGGGTAGGACTTGGCCACATCATCAGAATGATGTACTGATATGTGCTAAACACGATTAACCTTGAACGCATGGCCTCACGAGATGCCACATGTGATGAAATACCCTCACCAGGCAGACCCATTAGCGTGCTTAGTGCTGGGGGCTGGAGAGCTAACGCGCCCAGGGCTTGTCAGTGGGCACATTCCTCGCTGACCGTACTGGGGGCTGCATGGACCTCAGTGAGCTGGGCACATTACACGGATGAATCGTGGGGTGTGTTCACCATCCGTCCATAAGGCTGCTAAAAAATGGCTGAGCGGGACAGGGAACGGAAAGAGACAGCAGAGCAGCCCCGGGCGAGCCACGTATTGGAATTGTCCGTGGGCCGGAGGCCTTGCTTCCAAATATTGGAGTCGCGTTCAGGAGAGTAGCTGACAAGACAAAGAGTTTAACCTGAGAACTGGAACTCACATAAAAAAGGAGAAAACGGCAATCACAGAACTGAAAACGCAATGACTGCGACTGAACACTCAGCGGCTGGGTTTGACAGCAGATTTGATGGAACGGAAGAGGAGGGGGTTAGTGAGCAGAAGGCCCAGGAAATTCCGGACGGAGCCAGAGTCCACAGAGAAAGCCCACAGGAGGCTCCCAGTGTGGACAGCGCGGTCGGACGTGGAAAGGATTCGGCACACCTAGGAAGTGCATTGTCCTGGGACCCACGGGAATCGCACCGTCCTCCCCTCCAGGGGCTCCCAGCCCAGCAGGCGGACAGACCGTTAGCTGGCTCTGGGGTGGATGGGACTGTAAGTCACAGAGAATCAGACCCCAAAAAGAGACATGCTGTCACTTTACTGATGGACTTTCCTGCTAGAGGACGTCAAACTAAAAACTTGAAGCATTCGCCCTGGACTCTGACAGGCTAGCACAGCAGAAAAGTGATAATTGCAGGAATTCCCAGTACAGACGCCGAGCAAATGGCTACCCAGGCTCTGCCTGCACACTCAGTGATGGGGCCTCACTACCTATCAAGGCCATCCTTGAGGTCTGGGAGACCTTGACTGCTGCGTCGTGCCCTTCGCATGCTCTGGCACTGAGGACTGTGGGTCATCCTGACGCAAAGATCAGAAGTGTCACTGACCTTAGGGGGAAGACTGGGAGGTTTCAAGGTTACAACGATGGAAAATTCTTCAGGGAACAGGTCGCATCTGACGAAAATCTTCGATGCAGGGAAGCTCATGGCGTGGGGGGCAGCGGCCGAAAGCTGGAGTCCCAGTGCACCTTGAACCCGTGTCACGCTTATTCCGCTCGCAGCGCCATCTGGAGGGACTGCCTCTGCTAGGATGTCCAGGGGGCGCAGGTCTGTGTCAAGGAAACCACAGGCGGGTTATGCCAGGACGTGACGGGGCACCCCGCGCGCAGACGCGGGTCACAGCATGCAGACTCCCCCGGAGTCCCTATGGGCTGGTGTCACAATTATCCCCGGATAACCACCCACCTGGGCCTGCCCGTGCCCTGTCCTACCCACCCCACAACGAGGCGCAGGGCTGGGTGTGTTGGGGGACAAGGAGGGACAAGCCCCAGCCCCAGCCCCAGCCCCAGGGAGTACACGGTCCCCCTGGGAGACAGGCTTGCACACGTAAAGCATCTAGGGACCAGGAGGGCCAGGCATGGCATTCCCTGAGCTCTCGGCAGTGCCTCCATCGCCAACCAGGCATCCGGACGCGGCAATGTCACTGCAGCAAGACTGGCTGAGCGAGAAGCCATGCCAGGCGCTGCCCGGCAGATCTGGCCACTGGCTGGTTCCATCCTTGTGGACGCTCAGGAGTGCACGCTCGTTTTCTGTCTGTACTGGGGCTGACACCACTCCTCGTTGGGAGTGGCGCACAGCTAATATTTGGGGCGCTTGCCAGTTTCCAGCTGCTCCCGCGGGCCATCTGAGTCCATCTCACCCATGGCTGTCCCAGCTGGTGTCGCAGGGAGGAGTGATTGAGTCCCTGCCCTGGAAACCGTCAAAGCCTGTCCTCTGTGAATGTGGGTGGGACATGAGTGACCAGTCCAAGAGGACAGCTGCAGCTCCCTACACTGTGGCCTGAGTCACGGAGGAAGTGTGTACAGAGCGTGCGGGACAGGGACACGCAGCATCGGGACACACATGAGGCCGGCGGGAGAGTGGGCGAAGCCTGGGAGGACCTCCGGGGAGGGCATTGTGAGGAGCGGGGCAGACGCCTGCTCTGTGACAAGAGGCCTCAGTGCTCTGTTACAATTTGTGTCATTGAAATCAAAGCAGTAGGGCGTGGAGAGAGCAAGCGTCGCTTCCTGTGCTATGAAAAGAGTCGCTTGTGGAGCAACCCCGAAGGCGGCAGACACAGAAGCACCTGTGTCCTCTAAAGTCTGAATGTCAAGGGCAGGGGTCATGTGGAAGCTGCAGTGTGAGTGCACGTGTGCACATGTGTGTGCGCACGTGTGTGTGTGTGTGTGCATGTGCGTGCGTGCACGTGTGTGCGCGCGTGTGTGTGCGCGTGTGTGTGCGCACGCGCGCGTGCATGTGTGCACATGTGTGTGTGTTGGTGGTGGGAGTCCCAGGTGGCCTCGGGAGGAGTCAGGCATCCGCGGGGGTTGAGGGAGGGGAGGGAGTCTGTGCTCCAAGACCCTGACCTTGACCCAAAGCTCAGGCTGGCTGGATTCCACGTCCTGTGGAGCTGTGCCTGGTCGGGGACCCTGGAGAACTCAGGGCTCTGAATAAACACTGTGCACCTCAAATTCACCCCCCAAAAGACTGGGAAACAGTAGGTACACGGATCCCGCCTGGTGGTGGGCTCACCCCTCTCGGTTTTAGCTGTGGCCCCACCAGGATCCAGCCTCTCCTTCGGATAATGTGGGTCCTCTGGCAGGCAGGCTGCCCGGCTTCCAGAACACTCCACCGCCTGGCCGGGCCCCAGGCACAGGCAGTTAGGGCCCATTAACAGAGAGGGGTCCCTGAATTCCGCTCATCCCAGTGTGAGCCTCTCCCACACCGGGTAACTGAAACAGCCCCTTCCTGGGGTCGCCCCACCCCAATCCGAGCTGACACCTGCGGTCTTTGCTCTGACAGTGTTCAGGCCACATGCACGTGTGTCTGTCTCTGCCTCGTACACACACTCACACACACACACAGACACACACACACAGACACACACAGCAGGGCTTTCAAGGCTAACAGAGACTGAGCTTTGTATCTTCCTGGAAAAGCCACCACTGGGTGCAGAACGAGTGACGCTTTGCGAGTACGAAGTCGAGCTGTCTGCGAACGTTTGGACGCGAGCAGGTGAGAAGTGCTGCAAATGAATTCTTATCAATTCAGCACGTTCCTGGGCACCGGCTGTGTCCATGCTGAGGGCCCGAACGTGCCCCCTGATAACGGCCGAGCCACACATGCAGGACAAGACAACCGACCCACGGCCTCTCAGCCATCGGCCAAACCGGCCAGGACACGCGTGGCCAGTGACCACCAGCTCGCCTACGTTTTGTCCCCACTTCCAATTCAGGAGCAAGCAGCACAGCAGATACGCTCCCCTGACCAAGCGCGCAGGAGCTGCGCGTCTGGCGAGCGGCCTCAGCCTCCCACAGGCACACGGCGCCCCGCTTCCCACCTGCCTGAGCCTCCAACAGAGCCACGTGGCAGCGGCAGCCTCTTCTCACCTGGGAGGCCTTCCTGCACCCCACCAAGGCTTCTCGCAACGTCGGGTTAAGAAGCAAATAGTTGCGGCCTCAGGAACCTACAGTGTAGCCGAGATGTGGAGGCAGCTACGCTGACAAAGCTACACGTAAGGTCCCCATGAGACCTCACCACTCACAACTCACTGCACCTCTCAGGGCCTGTGTCCTCACCTGTCAGATGGGAGGGTGCTGACTACCCCCCGTCAGGGCCCAGCTGAGCTGGAGAAAGATCTGAATTGACAGTGTCAGAGGGGACAGTTAGCCCAGGGGAAGGGACCAGGGAGGGCTGTGATCACTCAGCGCCACAGCGTTAGAGGGGGCTGAACCACAAGGGCACCGACACCCATCGCCCCCATGGAAGGGCCCAGCGGGGTCACATGTGGGAGCCCCAGGACAACAGCCTCCTGCAGGAAGTGGGAGCGGAAGGGCTGGGCACCAGCCAGAGCCAGAGCAGCAGCAGCAAATCCCCAGAAGGAGGCCTCGGAATGGAACGCAGCTGTGGCCGGTGGGAAGGCAGCGCCCTGGCTGTGCCCCAAGCCTGGGGTGTGGCAGGAGGGTGACGCCTTTGTGATCGCCGGTGGCCGGGCCTGACAGGTCACGCACAGGGTTTGGTCAGGAGCCAGGCTCCTCACTCCCCGGGCTTGTTCCTTGGGGACGCTCTGTGCTGGGGCCCGTGGAGACGAGGTTTGCAGGAGGGGCCAACGGCCTTCAGTGGAAGCACAGGTGTGCGCTCCAGGCCCTCAGCCAGGTGGACACCTGGCCCGCTCCTCCGTGGGGGCGGGAAGGGAGAAGAACTAAGTGGCTTCTTCGCTCTGGATTTTGCTGGTTTAAACTGTGGCCCGGGGACCAGGAGCAGTTTCTTTCAAAGATTTGGGTTGGGGGACTAGAAGGGTTGCCTTATGTGACGCTGAGACCAACACTGTAGCCAGAGTGACAAAACAGTGCAGTTCGAGCCCGAGAAGGGACAGGTGGGGCAATGATGAGACGAGACCCCAGAGCTCAGAGGGACCCGCAGGTAGGCAGTTGGGTGGGCCCCGGAGCAGCGGGGAGGGACAGACGCCCCGGTGGTGAAGGGGGAGCCGGGCTTCTGTGCGGAGGGAGGTCCCGCTGAACCCCTCCCTGAACATGACACACCCCCCACCCCCACCCCCGTCAAGTCCAGGGTGGGTGAACAGTGAAGGCCCCACATCAGAGGGAGGTGTCGGGACTGCCTGCGGCCCGGGGTTACAGAGGACGTCTCAAACTCAGCAAACACAAACCACTGGAAAGAACTCGCTACATCTGCTCCCATCCAAACACGAATCCGTACTCAGGAAGGACCCCTGGGCAGCACCTATGGTCCCAGGACAGAACAGGAAAGGTGATTGCCACGCCCAGAACTGACTGGGGGGGCACAGGAACAGGATGCCTGAAGACCCACCAGGAAAACATAAGCACAATCCTCAGAAAAAGGAATAAAAAGCAGTCAACTTAAAAAAGAAACCCAGGGCCGGCCGAGTGGTGCGTTGGTTAAGAGCTGTCTTGGGACACCAGAGGGCCCCGGTTCAGATCCCACATATGAGGGCCAGTGACACTGCCCTCTACAGCTAAGATGCTGAACAACAGCTCAACCTGGAGCTGGGCTGCCGTGAGTCGCCAGCAGCATAGGCTGCAGCCTCTGTGGCAATGGGTTGCCATGGGCTACCGTGTGTAGCCAGCAGCCAGCGTGAGCGGCCAGCAGCCGCAGTGAGTGGCCGTCCAGAAGCCGGCAACTGATTTGCCTCACCCGGGAAGAGCACAATGATGGTGCCAACTTGGGCCAGTGAAGCAACGTCCTCCACAACTAGACTGAAGAACAAAAACGACAGCAACTTGTCTGTTCCCCTTCCCCCAACTCCTCAGCACTGTTCCCATCCCCCAATTCCCCAATAAAAATCTGAAAAAAAAGAAAAAAAGAAACCCAGAGGGCTCACACACATATGATGAAATGCTCACGTCAACAGAGTCAGAGAAATACAAATTAAAGCAGTAATGAGATGCCGTTTTTCTTCTATTATACTGGTTACAAAAGGACTTAGGAAAGAAATGGAAAGATGGGGCATGAACGGGAAGATGACGCGTGGCCCTTTGTGGGTCCAGGGCTGCTTTTCTTGTTTTAAAGGCGTCAAGGGGTGTGGACGAGGCCCAGCCCCTGGGCTCCCGGGAGCGGGGCCGTGCTCTGTCACAGCCTGGGAAGACAAAGGCAGTGTGATCAGCCCACCACAGGGAGGCCCCGAAACAGCAGTGACATGCACATAGCCCAGCAGATGCTGACAGAGCGCTGCCCAGACCAGCCCGGCAGGGCCTGTTACGCACACCAGTGTCTTTCAATCCAGAATCTACGCCTCGCTGTCCCCCAGTCTGCCTCGGCGCCTTGGTGTCAAGGGCCCTTACAAGGCACGAGCCTGACCACAGGACCAGCAGAGGGACCAGCAAGCACTGTGGCCCCGCTGTGTCCCACCGACGCTAACTGCCCTCTCAGTGGCTCGGTCTCCTAGCCACAGGAGATGCTGTCCCCATCATGTGTGGCTGTGGGAGGGAACGGGAATCTTGGGAGGCAGGCAGAAGTGGCCCCCAAACACGGACTGCCTTACCACGTCTAGGTGGGGAGGGGAGCCCAGCCGTCCCGGCATCACCCTGCGCTG